CCCCCAACTGCTCCAGCTGGAGCTGGCCTCCTACAGCCCCTGCGTAGTAATTATTTTCCCGAAATAGGGAGCCTGCTCTGGGCCCGAGGAGCCGCGTCAGCGCGCAAGGATCCAGACGCCAGGCCACGCTATTCCTGGTGTCACATGAGCACGTGCCAGGCGGGGGAGCTGTGCGTTCTTCTGGAGGGGCAGTGCGTGTCTCTGGCCGCAGTGAACGGCAGAAGAGGGTGGGACTGGAAAAATGAAACGAAATTTGAAAAGCTAAGGAGAACATTCTATAAAGTCAGAGCCAGGGCTGTGAGGGCGACAGTGTGAAGCTCTTTGAGGTGCTGACTAGGCTCACCGTCCAGTGTTATAAGCGGGTGTATCGTGGGAAACTCTTCTGATTGGACAAGAAGGACAGATGAAGACTCTTCCTTCCACTGAATCCTGAATGAGCCCCGCCTCCCTCGATCACTTTTCAGGCAGGCCATCTCGTCTTTTACATACCAAGGGGGTCCAGGACCCCCTGCTGTTCATGTACCACCCTCCCAGGAAGCTGCCAGACCCTCATAGGCAGCGGTGACTTCAAGCCTGCATTGACCTTGTACTTGGGGGGGTGCGCTGGATCCTGCCTGAGGAGGTCCTGGCCCTCCCTGCATGTTCAGGCATGACTTTGCTCTATGCCAGGGTTATTCAAATCACGGTCCTCGAGGTCCGAGCACTGCTGGTTTTCCAGCCTTCCTTTACCTGTCAGTCAGGTGTGAAGCCTCTGACCAATCAGAATCAGTAATTATTAAACAAACTACCTGGGAGAACTGAAAACAAGGCCTGGATTTGGAATCGAAGTCCAGATTTGAAGAACCCTGCTCTATACCATGTTGGTCAATGTGGGGCCGGAGCTCCTGTGCACCAGCAGCATAACACTCTTCACTGTCATTTCTAATTGCACTTTATACCTAATTATCACTTTCTTCATCCAAAATTCTGCTTATTGTTGACAGTTACAGTTAACGGTGTGGAGGCATGGAAGGCCACCAGGGGGAGCAGTAGTTAAGAAAGATATAAGTATAAGAATTTATATTTCAGAAGATACAGGCCCTTTCCTCTCCCAGACTGTGGCCCTGGTGTCACACCCCTGACCATATATAATACAAAAGTATGTATCCAAGAAGACACTGTTTGCATAAGTGTCCATTACATAACAAAATAATGTAATAAAACAATGCCAACCAACCATCCATTCTTCCATCAATCCAGAATTCCAACTGCTTCTCTAGTCCAGGGTCAGTGGCACGGAGGAGCACAAAACCAAGTATCCCAAAGGTGGCTTGGGGTGTCTAAAAATTCCTGTTATGAATTAATCATTTACCTGATGATGATGATGATGATGATAATGATGATGATGACAGTGAGAAGAGGACGAAGACAGTCCTGCTCATAGGAAAATGTCTCCTGCTCTGTGACATTTGCCTATAGAATGTGCTCCTGGGTCACCCCACCTGTCACTCCATTTCACTTTCTGTCCTTGTGGCATGCGGGGAATCACCCCCCCTGCTCCCCCCCAAATGCAGTACTCTAGCCCCTTTGTGGGAGGTGGGACGCTGACCGCTGCCCCTGAGCGGAAACCATGGTCTGCGTTTTATTTTGGGGCTGTGAAAATACCCACTTACAAAGAGTGTCCATGGGGGGGGGGGTGTCACTTAGTGCTCTCCCCTAGGGAATAAATGCCCCCCAGGAGAGCTTTCACCCTTTACTGACAGCCTGAGAAAGAGGGCTGTCTGGGGCAAATGCAGCTCAACCCTGGGCAGATCAAAAAAATAGCCGCCCCCTTGGCCCCCATCTCCTAACCCCGGGCCCTGCTGGGGAATGCCCTGAGAGCAGACGCCCAGAAGGTCAGGGTCAAAACTGAGGGTTTGCTGCGAGACTATCCATCCATACATACATCCATACATACATACATACATGCATACATCCATACATACATACATACATACATACATCATAATACATCTATCCATACATACATACGTACATCCATGCATACATCTATCCATACATACATCCATCTATACAACCATACATACATCCATCCATATATACATCCATCCATCCATTCATACATACATACATCTATACATTCATACATACATACATCCATCCATGCATACATCCATCCATGCATACATCCATCCATACATACGTCCATTCATCCATCCATACATACATCATTCATCCATCCATACATACATACATCCACTGATGTGACTGCTACAGTGAATAGTGAAAATTTGCTGATCTACTGATTTCTTTTGCTGTTTTGTTCGATGTCATATCATTTCCAGGGGTGACGGTGCCGAGTATGAAGCTAATTTCTGCATTATATGTATGACAATTAACAAAATAGGAAAAATATTGAAGCAGAATTACTTCAACAAAGTGCCAAACAAAAGATAGATAGATAGATAGATAGATGGATAGATAGATAGATAGATAGATAGATAGATAGATAGATGATAGATAGATAGATAGATAGATAGATAGATAGATAGATGATAGATAGATAGATAGATAGATAGATAGATAGATAGATAGATAGATAGATAGATAGATAGATGGATGGATGGATGGATGGATGGATGGAT